CTTGGCCTGCTGTGTTCATCCAGCTCTATACCAGATTATCTGATCATTTACTTCCTTGTTCTTGCTGTTCACCGATCGGAAATTCATTTGCTACATTGTTGCAGTGACTGCACCTCAAACACAATTCAGTTCTGATCAAAACTACTCCTTCACTCATAGAATTTGCCTGTCCCGCTGAGAATTCCCAGCACTCTCCAGTCTTGCTCTGAAGGAAGTGATTGCCTGCAAAGAACTTTGGTTAATCCTAAGGCTCTGATAGATGCTATATAAATGAAAGGTTCTCCTTTCCTTGATACTGGATTTAACTTGATTTTCCCAGCTGCAGGAGTTTGTGTGAGATCGGTTATCGAATTGGTTGGTTGATTATAGAAGCAAACCTCAAATAAAAGTGGAGCTAAGTCCTGAGGCTCCAGCTGCTGCTGCTAAGACTACAGGTTTCTGGCCAACCAGCAAAAACGGCCTCAGGTCAGACCAGGAGCCTCAGCCCTGGACCCATACCCATTCCCCAGGCTACAACAACACACACGCACATACCCCAAGCCTCACCTTCTAGCCTGTCAAATTGGACCTACTGATTACAGTGCTGGATGCTTTGTGTAATCTTGAACTTGAAACAATGGACAGGGTTGCTAGCTCTTTGAGGCTATGCTAAGCCAGCTAGCATGGGCAATGAGAAGTTATTAAAGACCTCTCCACAGTCACCTTCTCCCCAGGGCTGAAGAGCTCTTTCCAGAGTCTCAACGCAGTTTCCGCTCTCTAAAAACTGCATTAGAACGGTGAGCCTGTACCGAAAACAGTTGAGGCCAAAACATTGAATGTTTTCAAGGAGCAGTTAGATGTAGTTCTTGGGTTAAAGGGATCAAAGAGTATGGGTAGAAAGCAGGAACATGGGACTAAGTTAGATGATCAGCTAGGATCATACTGAATGGTACAGCAGGCTCAAAGGGCTGACTGGCCTACTCCTGCCCCTCTTTTTGATGGTTTATTTTCACCACATGTAAACAACAACACAAAGGAAAGAATGGGAACATGTTCAGCCTCTGCCAGCTTCTGGTCAGCTCCAAGGTCATCTCAGCCTCTGTCATTAAGCTACTGAATGCAGACAATGCATAACCTCTGACGCCCAGCATCAAGCCATCATCAACACCTTCCCCAAGGCATACAGGAGCACGGGCCTTGCACTGAACATTCATAAAACAGATGTGCTCTGCTAGCTTGCACCCACCGATTACCAGTATCCACGACGAGGCCTTGGACTATGTGGACCACTCTGAAAACCCTGGCAGCACACTGTTGACGAGGGCAGACATTAACAACAAGTGTCTCTGTGCAGCTTTCAGCGATCTCAGAGTGTGTTTGCGACTTGGACCTCAAACTGAGCACCAAGCTTGTGGTCAATAGGGCAGCAGTGATACCTGCCCTTCAATATGGTTCAGAGTGGACTATATAGAGGAGGCACCTCAAAATCCTGGACAGGCACTGCCAATGCTGCCTTTGCAATCCTGCAGATCCATTGCCAGGATAGGCACACCAGCCAGCGTTCTCTCCCAGCCCAATGTCCCAAGCATTGGAATGCTGCCCACATTCAATCAGCTTCACTGGGCACGGCACTCAGGCACATGCCTGGCACAAGACCCCCAAAGCAAATGTTCTATTCAGAGTTTCGACACAGCAAGAGAGTCCCAGGAGGACAGAGGAAATACTTCATAGATACCCTCAAAGGCTCTTGAAAAAAATGTAACATTAACACCTGGGAAACCCTGGCCCAAGATCACCAAAAGGTAAAAAGGGTGGACCTGGGAAGGATCTGTACACTTTGAATCTCATCGCTGATGGGAAACTACACTGAAGCGCCAGAGAAATGAATGTATGGTGTCCCTGGGATCCCATTCTCCCATTCTCCCAATCAGTATATGCCTCACACCCCGTCCCGCAACACAGCCATAACAGAGACTGCAGGTCATGCAGTGGACTCATTTCTAGTCTGGAAGTAAGTTGCCCTTCAGCACAAGGGACCACCTATGAAAAAGTACTAATAATTTGATTTTCATTTTAAAAATAGGCTTTAGGATGCAAGGTCTTGTCTTTGCCACCTGAACCAGGTATAGTGAATGCCATGAGACAGAAGTTAAGGTGTTTCTGTTCATTGCACTTGCTGACATACCTGTCCATTCTGGTGTACACTGGCAGTTGTAGGTGTTAACACCATCGACACAGGTTCCTCCATTCATGCACTTGTGATCAGGGCAGTCATCTATGTTAATTTCACAGTTCTGTCCCTTAAAACCTGAGGAGGAGAAAAACAAATCAAGAAATAAATTGCCTCAAACCCAATCATAATTGTGACATTACGTAAATGTTCACTTTAAATCCAGAGGACACAAATACTAGATGATGGATGACTGGATAGAGATGTAATATATGGCTCCAGCTCTTGTTTTAAAGGGTATATTATACAGAATACAGACCATTTGGCACAACTAGCTCATTTACATACTTCCGGAGCTTTCTCCAATCCTCACCTAAGCCCAGCAGTTTCCTTCTGTTCAACTGCCTCATTGGTTTGCCTAACTTCCCCCTAAATGCATCATATTACTTCCTTGAATCATCCCCTGCGCTAACTAGTTCCATGTTCTCAACACGATCTGGGCAAAGGCATTCCTTTTAGATTCTTATCCAATGCCACTGTGTAAGGAAAAGTTTTAACTTCAGTCACGAAATCAAGGAGAATGCCAATTTTACAACTCAGCTAGGTCTTATTCTGCATTGACTAGGCAGTAATCTCAAATTAGATTTCAAAACCAGACTTGCATCTGAAGCTGTCAGTTTAAAGTTCACAACTCCCACTTTATATTTTTCTAAATTCACTCACTCCCTTTGAACAGCATATTCTCTGGTTCAAACATTCTGGACATGGAAGACAACTGGACATCATCTTAACATTTTAGAATCCTAAAAGCTACAATCACATCTTCTCAACATTCCCAGTAGGAAAGTATCCAATGTACATATTTTCTCCTCAACAGGCTTCTTCATTATTAACCCAATACTGAAATACCATGCCCTGTAATTCATTCATTCATGAGATGTGGGCATTGCTGGCTTGACCAACATTTACTGCCCAGATCCAACTGACCTTGAGGAGGTGATGGTGAGCTGCCTACAGTCCACATGGTGCAGATAGACCTACAATATTGTTAGGGAGGGATTTCCAGAATTTTGACCCATTGACACAGAAGGAACTGAAGTCGGGATAATGAGTGGCTTTGAGGGATGGTGTTTCCATATATCTGTTGTCTTTGTCCTTCTAGGTAACAGAGATTGCAGGTTTGGGAGGTGCTGTCTGAGGAGCCTTGGTGAATTTCTGCAGTGCATCTTGTAGATAGTACACACTTTTGCTACTAAGTGTTGGTAATAGAGGGAGTGAATGTTTTTGGATGTGGTGCCAAACAAGCGGGCAGCTTTGTCCTGAATGGTGTCGAGCTTCTTGAGTGTTGTTGGAGCTGCACTCATCCAGGCAAGTGGGGAGTATTACATCACACACATTCCTGACTTGTGCCTCAGAGATTTTGGACAGGCTTTTGGGAGTCAGGAAGTGAATTATTTACTGCAGTATTCCTAAGCTCTAAAGTGCTCTTGTAGCCACTGTATTTATTTCTCTAGTTCAGTTTAGTTTCTAGTCAAGGTAACCTCCAGGGTGTTGTAAGTGGAAGATAAAGTGACGGTGATGCCTTTGGATGTCAAGAGATGATAGTCACTTGCCACTTCTCAGCCCAAGCCTGAATATTGGCCAACACTGTTCCCATTGTGGCCTCCTCTACATCGGGGAAACCAAGCGGAGGCTTGGGGACCGCTTTGCAGAATACCTACACTCGGTTCGCATTAAACAACTGCACCTCTTAGTCGTGAACCATTTCAACTCCCCCTCCCATTCCTCAGACGACATGTCCATCTTGGGCCTCCTGCAGTGCCACAACGATGCCACCCGAAGGTTGCAGGAACAGCAACTCATATTCCGCTTGGGAACCCTGCAGCCCAATGGTATCAATGTGGATTTCACAAGTTTTAAAATCTCCCCTCCCCCTACCACATCCCAAAACCAGTCCAGCTTGTCCCTGCCTCCCTAACCTGTTCTTCCTCCCACCTATCCCCTCCTCCCACCTCAAGCCGCACCCCTATCTACCTACTAACCTCATCCCGCCCCTTGACCTGTCCGTCTTCCCTGGACTGACCTATCCCCTCCCTAACTCCCCACCTACACTCACCTTTACTGGCTCCATCCCCGCCTCTTTGACCTGTCTGTCTCCTCTCCACCTATCTCCTCTTCTATCCATCTTCTATCTGCCTCCCCCTCTCTCCCTATTTATTTCAGAACCCCCTTCCCCTCCCCCATTTCTGAAGAAGGGTCTAGGCCCGAAACGTCAGCCTTCCTGCTCCTCTGATGCTGCTTGGCCTGCTGTGTTCATCCAGCTCTACACCTTGTTATCTCATTGTCCAGCTCTTCCTGCATTTGGACATGGATTGCTTCCGTATCAGAGGAATCACAAATGATGCTGAATATTGTGCATCAAACATCTCCACCTCTGACCTTGTAATGGAGGGCAGGTCATTACTGAAACATCTGAAAATGGTTGGGCTTGGGACATTCCCCTGAGAGAGTCCTGCAATGGCATCCTGTGGCTGAAATTATTAATACTGTACAAACCATCCAAACCATCAATCATTGCCACATACACCCACCCAGATACCCTGTTGTGCCTGTAATGTATTTACAGCATGGTTGTCATGTCCACTGAAGTTCGGAGTAGTCTGAATCGATATATCGTTGGAGGCAACGGAAAGATGCAGTGGGAATTTTATTGTGTGTGTGCTTGTCTTATGCCACTGTTCTCTAAGAGGGAGCCTCAGCTGACTCTCATTAATTCATTGCATTTGATTTGAAACACTTCCAATTGCTTCCTGTCCCACAGAAAACCATTTCCTGCCAAGACCCGTGAGCATGAAAAGAATCTGACATCTGACATAAATATTCCCTGGTCAGTTATTCAGGAAATGGTGGCTGATCGCCAGCTGGTCATTTGCTTTTTCAAAAGAAAAAATTTTGGAAGAAAAAAATTTAACATAAACTCATGACCTCTAATATACAAGCACAATGACACTTTGACCTCTGTCTCATATTTCCTGTTTGACACATTACTGGCAGGGACGTCTGACACTATCGTATTGTTTGAAACCAGCCTTTGAACATCTGATACATTTATGTCTACTGACTGTTTCCTCTTGAGGATCGATATAGCGTCCTTTCCAATTCAAAGGTAGCCCCACGTGAGAATTGCAAGAATATTTGGGAACAGCCAAACTCCCAAACTCTCATGTCTTATTTTGCGTTGCTTCAATCTGTCTTTGTTGATATACAAGACAATTACTTCACTAAAGCAACAGCAAAAATTTAAGAACTCAATGGGTTTTATTTGTGCGGTTCATGTTTTATGTACCAGCTGAATCTGTTGTACCAAAGCAAATCTGTTTCCACCATATAACTACCTTTGAACCACATAACTAGAAGTATGCCAAGCATGTCATGGAGACTAACCTCTGATCACTGGTTTGTTTCACATTTAAGTTTGCGGGTGAACTGATGGCCTACATTAAGTGGATCCATTTTGTTATTTCCTCTCCCGGTTCCCTGAAGTTCAGCTATTTGATAAACAGCCAAGGGAATGAAAACTGTTGCCTAATGTAGAGCAAAACTGGCTAAAGCAGTTCCACGCCTGTGAAACTCTGAGTGACTCAGTGAAAAACTGCAATCAATAGCTATAAGCCACACAACAAGCTTAGAGGTTCCAACTGCAGTCTGTGACGTAACAGTTACAAAGGACATGTGGTTACCACTGCAAACCTCCTGGGCAGCTCCCCCTGAGGACAGGAAGGAGGACACAGTTTTGTCAAGACTATCAACTAACACTCTTCACTTACTGATTAGAAGGACAATTTTTAACTGTATCACAGGCCATATTTAGTACATTTCACTTGTGGACTGTCACATTCTTTACCAGTGTCTCTACCGGACCAAATTATTTTGTCAAATATCAAGTGGACAAATATCCTTCTCTCCAACTCAATCCCAAAATAGTCAGGGTGCTTGTTTCCTTAATCATTAATTAAAGCAAAGGGAGATCAAGCATGCAGACCAATAAGGTGCAACCTGTTCACATAGATTTGCTCTGGCCTCCTGTCACTTTCACACTGAGTTCTCTTTAATGTAGATGTTTGCTAATCAACCTGTTCAGAGATGTTATTACACACCTCTGGAGCAGATAGGACCGGAAATCAGACCTCCTGGTCTAGAGGTAGGGACTCTACCACAGTGACATAAGAGCCCCCACTCCCTACATTGTCATGCAAGGCAAAATTGTACAGCAAGATCAACAAATTAAGTTTTTAAAAAATATAAGGAGGCAACATACTTTCACAGGCCACATTGATGGGATGACCTGCTGATGTTAAGGGATTCTAATCTTGCATATTTTTCCTGATACATTTAAGAGAAAACTGGATAACTACACGTGGGACGAGGAAGATATGCTGAAGTACAGTCACTGATAAAGAAACTAGCACCAGCATATTTAAGAGAAAACTGGATAACTACACGTGGGACGAGGAAGATATGCTGAAGTACAGTCACTGATAAAGAAACTAGCACCAGCATTGACTAGTTGGGATGAATGGTTTTTTCCTGGCTGAATGTTCTGTATGATTAACTAGTCATGGTTTTAATCACCGGTAGAAAGACCTTACCACCATGAACAGGTAGACATTACATTCCTACCTGGTAAACAGGCACATTCGTAGGTCAGGTCCCCAGTTTGCCGGCAGGTCCCTCCATTCTGGCATTGCGAGGGGGCACAGGGGACGTAGATACTCTCACACTGGCGCCCTGTGAAGCCAGCTGGGCACTGGCAATAGAACGAGCCAGGGGTGTTCACACACAGGCCTCCTTGCTTGCAGAGGTTGGGCACTTTGCATTCGTCAATGTCCGTGCGGCAGTGCTTCCCACTGAATCCTGGTGGGCATGTACAGTTGTAGCGGTTGTTCCAGTTTGTACAGCGAGCTCCGTTCGCACATGGGCTGGTAGCACAGGCGTCTATCTGTGAGCAGTTAGCTCCTGAGGAATGAAAGAAGGGCCATCACATCTGACAGCAGTAGAGCTCCCTTACTATAAAATTTAGTGCATTGTTAGCTTAAAGGAAAGAACCCCCAATAATTCTCTCTGTTTAAATGAGCTGAGGTAGGGTGGACCTTCCAGCAATTCACCCAAATGGCCGTTCTTTTTAGTTGAAAGTATCCAGCAGACTGTGTGATCATGCGGCCACCCTCAATACTTGCACTTCCAGCCGTGCCTACTAGATGGCAGCGAGGAATGGGAGCCTTGGCTGATTTATCCCAGTCAACGCCAAAGGAACATGGAGCTAATTGCTGATTCTCCTCCTATGGGAACTAACCAATGTAACACAGATCAGAAGCTGAAAGTGGGATCTTGCTGCTCTACATGGCTCAACAAGGACCATACATATTTACATAGCCATTTTCCACTAAGAAAGACCCAGAGATTTCTGACTAAAGGACAATAAGAATCTGATACACTTTTGCCCACACAATCTCATTTAGATCCATAACGTTCCTTTACTATTTAATCTAGGCTGTGATTTCAAAGCTTAGCAATTGTATATACCTTGAGTAGAATTTCTTGTTGTGTGCTAAAGTATCTGCTTGGGTAACAACGTCCAAAAACTCTGCTTGTATCTCAGGTAATGTTAAAACTAAATCTGTTTGTTAGGATGAGATGGGACAGCCCAGACTGCACACCTTCCAGAGACAATGTCAACGAGTCATGATTCAGAGCACTTATTTTCCCCACCTTCTCCACCCCAGCACTTCTTTGCTTTGGGATGTGCAGAGTACTGGATAAACACATGAGTTTGTCAGAAATGTTCACTTTATGCAGCTATGTTTGACCTGCCGTTTTCACTGTTTAGAAATGATATGCAAAAAAGTGATGTGTGAGACATCTGAAATGACAGCAGGCTGTAGCATTTAGCCTTCAGTCAGAGGAAGGAGATACTGCAAATAAAAAGGTCTTCTCCTTGGAGAACTCTGAGTTACTGGTCATCAAAAACCTGAAGAATATGAACATAAGTATTGTAAGAAAGTCACTTGAGAACGACTTGCATTAAAACAGCACCTTTCATGACCTTAGACTGTGCTGACATACAGTAACGTAGGAAAAGCAGCAATGAATGTGTGCACAGTAAGCTGTGACAAGCAACAATGTGAAAATATGCAATTAATCTGTCTAGGTGAATATTGAGTGAGGGGTAAACATGGGTCAGGACACAGAGGTGAAGTCTCTTGCTCTTTGAGCAATCTGAATGGCACTGTTTTGCATCCACCTGAGAGGGCAAATGGGTCCTCAGTTCAAAAGATGTGATTTCTGTCTCAGTTCTGCATTGGACAGGTCAGCCTAGATTTCATATTTGAATCCCTGGAGTGGGGTTTAAAAATCATTGTAGGTGAAAACTTAGATAGCTGAAGTACATCAAGTAAGACAAGGATGGTAGTAGGTTTATTCCTCATCAAACAATGAAAATAGTCACTTTAGCTAATACTGTGATATTAAAAATCAGTTTCAGTTGCCCAAAAACTGGGGAAAACTTTAAGTAAGGAAATCAGCTGATATTGTCAGTCCTGATCGTGTGATTCTGTGTTGAATAAATGTAGAAAATAGGAATAGGAGTAGGCCATTCAGTCCTTCGAACCTAGTCCATCATTCAAACCATCATGGCTGTTTATCAATTCAGTGCCCTGCTCCTGCTTTCTCCCTTTGATCTAGTTAGACTTAAGAACTATATCTAACTTTTTGAAAACATTCAATGTTTAGGCCTCAACCAGTCTCTGTGGCATAAAATCCCAGTCTCACCACTCTGTGGGTGAAAACATTTCTCCTCATCTCAGTTCCACACTGCATCTTTAGACTGTGACCCCTGGTTCTGTGCTTCCCCAGGTTTAATTTTCTCCAAGCCTGGCGCTAGCTTACCTCGGAACCCTCGTGTACAGCTGCATGTATACTGTGTGGTGCCACCAACTACGGAACTGGAGCATATTCCTCCGTTTAAACATGGTGTCCTTTGGCAGGGGTCAGAAAACTGGCACAAGTCCCCAAGGTAACCAGGCCGACATCTGTATAAAGCAAGAAAAGCATGAGGCCATTAGTTCTTTGTCTGCCTTGGGGATAGGCACAATTAAAAGCCATGGAATGAACAATTACTCAAAGACATTCAGTTTACAGAGCTAGCAAATCTTCAAACTCTTCTATAAACTGACCAAACAAACAAAACATATGGCCCAGGAAAGTCTCAGGTATGTGTTCTTTCACTGGCTATTTCAGCTGAAAACATAGTACAATTATAATATTAAACACTGGGGGCATGGTCGCTCCGTGTTCAATCACCACTTATCCTTCATCTTACTAAATGTATTTACACTCATTTTTACTGAAAATAGATCTGGCACCATCACATGTGGTCTCTGTGGTCAAACATCTTCTCGACGCTAGATGCTTTGGCTTGCGTGGACCAAAACCTCCGCAAATAGCTTCCACCTTGGAGGCCCCCACCAACTAACTGAGGCCTTTAGGGTTAAGGGCAGTATGACATGGTTGACAGAAAGATACGGCTTCCACTTGAGATGGAGACTAACATTTGGATCCAAAAACGCAAGGTAGTCACAACCTTTTGGCAGACAGTGGCAAGAATGTGGAAGTCACTACCGAAGGTGGTAGTTGAGTAAACAGCATTTTGCTTTGTAGTGGAAGGACGATAAGCACGAGGAATACAATGATATATTGATAGAGTGAGATAAAGAGGGTGATGTGGCACACTGACCCTTCAGTCTCAACAACCTGTTCTTGTGTTGTCAAAACCGGCAGCACTTTCCATACAGCGCAGAGGAAATGAGAGAGAGAAAAGAATTCAGTGTTTGAAGTGAGGGTTAACTTTTGCACTGAGATGTTTCTGCAGGAGGAGGGGGAAATGACCAAAAGAAAATTAGAACAATTATATTAGGCCAATGATGGAACGTTTAACTGATAACATCGTTGGTTATAAATCTGCAGCAAGTGGAGGAGCTTGGGTTTCTCAGGCTCATAACTGTTAAACATACAAATCGGACAGCTTGTTCTCATCAAGCAGCCCTGAGTCCAGGCAGGGTTGCAACGCGGCTGGATGGAGGGGACTTTCCCACACTATCATCTCCCTAGCCACTGGGGCTCTGAGGCATCCATTGGGCCAGCTGCGTTTCCTCAGCGTCCACCGCCCGCCCCCACTCTTCTGTCTCTAGTCCAGTGCTCCCTTGGAGCTGCACAGTCATGCAGCAGCCCAGAGATTCTCGCCAGGCACTGCTCCCTTTATTACGTGCAAACAGTTGTCCAAAAAAAACAAATTAAAGGGGCTGTGCATTTAAATAAACCCCCTCACGTTCCAGAATAAAGAGTATGCTGCTCATTAACCCACCTCATCCCCACCCCCTGCTCCCACCGATGTTTGTTTCAGGGCAGTTTTAGACTTTAGGCTGTTAACTGTTTCCTTCCAACATTTCACTGCCCCACTGGCCAGGTGAAAGGTCACCTCATTATCACTGACTGTTGTGCCTGTAATTGACAAGACACCAACTGGACTGACTGTGGGCTGGGGGTTGAGGGGAAGTTTTCAGAGGGTTGGGGGGAGAGGTGTTTGGAGTGGAGGGGAGATTTTCTGGGGATGGATGGGAGGTTTTCAGGGGATGGGGGAGAGGCATTGTGGAAAAGTGTTGAGGTGGCAGCATTGTGGGGTGTAGGTGTCGGGTAAATTGTTGGGAAGTTGGGGGCGTTGTTGGTGTTGTGGTGGTTTTGGGGGCAACGTTTGGAGAGTGAGGAGGGATGTTTGCGGTGGTGATGGGAGGTGTTGAGGCGTGTGTGGTGGGGGGAAGAAGTGTTAGAGGATGTGCGGTAGTGACAGCAGGTTTTCAGGGTGGGGGATAATTATTTGGAGTGGGGGTCGGTGTTTGGCTGTATGTGGGTTTTTTGGGGGCTTGGGAGAGGGGAAGATGTGTTTTGGGTGTTGGGGAGAGGTGTTGGAGTATGTGGGGGGGGGTAGATGTTGGGAGGTGGAATTGGAGGCAGGGGAAGGTGGCAGATGTTTGTGGGGGCGAGGTGTTTGGAGACTGGGGGGTAATGTTGGAGGTGGGGGAAGGAGGTGGGTGTTTGTTGGGCGCAGGTGGTTGGAGGGTGGGGGTTGGTGTTGGAGGCAGGGTAAGGTGGCAGGTGTTTGTGGGGAGGGTGAAATTTAGGTGCTGAGGGTCTGTGTAGTGGAGGTGTTGGACTGGGTTGATGTTGGTCGTAAAACTGCTGGGGTTTAGTCACAGAAAATAAAGGCGTTTTCCTCAACTCCAGATGCTGGCTGCACCAGCATTTAGGTGAGGCCCCATCGAGAGCAGCCACAGATCGAGGAGAAACCAGCGTCAGTCAGCACCACTGTTAATGTGGGATGTAAGAGATGCGATGATGTTATTTCTTGGAAAAAGGTAACCTGAAGTCAACAGAATGGCACCACAGCTAAGGGTACCCCTTAGCTTGCCTTATTTTTCTTTGCTACTGGGTTTGGCAGAGAGGCAGATTCCTTCCCTTTCACACCTCGGAATCCTGCTGGTTATATTGTCAGCCATTAGATTTTAAAAGGGTTTCAAATTCTTGCAGGGTTGGTGTTTAGCTTTTAGCTATCTGGCATTCATCGAGAGCTTTTCATGACACCAGACATCTCAAGCTCAATGAACTCATTGCTGCGATATAGGAAGTAGCCATGTCCCACAAATAGTAAGGTGATAATAATGCCCTTTTTCTTTTTGAATGATAATAGCCAGAGTATAGGGAGAACTCCCCTCTTCCAAGAAATAGCATCATGAGATCTTTTACATCCCACATGCAGGAGATGGTCCTCATTTTCATTTGAATGACAGGACAGATGGGCCTATAAGACGGTGCATCTGATAGTGCTGCACTTCCTCAGTACTGCACTAGAGTGTTAGCTTTGATTCTATGCCCAATACCCAGAGACTCCCAATTATTGTACAATGTATTGACAGTATGAGTTGGAGGTTGAGTAGAAATAGGAACTGGCAATCGGAGCCACCTGTTTGACCATAATCAAATATCTTGTCAGCAGCCACTGTTTAAAGAGAAACATTGATACCAGGCATTTAGTTCATGTATTCATGACAGGAGGTATAGTGAGATGGGTAATTACAGAACTGCTCCTCAAATGAAGGAGCTGAAAAGGGTTAAGCAATGACCTGGTCATTTGTCGATTTGAAAGTTGCTAGGAGTGAATGGGTCAGTGTGGCCATGGGGACATTTAATTGGTCTTTGTATGTCAGGGAACTTGGCCCAGCTTTCTCCCAGTTACTATTCAGCAGCTGACCCATCAGAAAGAGCTTACATTGCTGAAGAGATTGGCAGAGTTGGTGTGGAGCTGGGGGGAGAGGAATTAGTCCAAAAGAAATCTATACATCATTCTGAAGAAAAAGTGAAAAATGATTGAAAATGATGAATGATACCACAGAGGGAGTCTCACTATTGCTGTTTTGTGGTGACCATTTTGCCTCCTTTTGTTTTCTCCTGGTGGACACAAGAATTAAGACTAAAACATAGCATTGTGGGGAATGAAAGGGGTCGCGAGGTGATCTGCTGCACAATGAGGTTGATTCAGGCCTCAGGCTTCGTTTTTCCACCCTTAAAGTCCAGCGACTGCATTCCACAAGCCTCAGTCTCTACTGCTGCGGAAATAGGCTGATCCACTAATCATAATCCACCCGGATAATGAGGGATTACACAACCCCCTCTGAGGCAGTCTCATTCCATCTCGCAGCAGCCGCTTTGGCCCTTTGAGGCCTGAACTTTGCCTCTTTTTCTCTTCCCCACAAAACAGAGCCAGCTTCTTGCCATACAGCGTTGACTTTTTTTTAAACTGATAATGTCACTCCTTCTTCTATCCCTTTAAAAGAGACATTTTCTTTCCCCAGTTGTTCAGTGCAGAAAATCAGGTGCGGTGTAAAGCTACTCGCTAGTGGCCTTGTTAATGCTCCCAGTGTGGACTTGTTGCAAAAAACCTGATTCTAGGCTGAGAGTAAGTTAGGTAGGCTAAGTATTGTGTGAAATTCTGGTCTCCCTCCTATAAGAAGGATGTTGTGAAACCTGAAAGGGTTCAGAAAAGATTTACAAGGATGTTGCCAGGGTTGGAGGGTTAAGCTATCAGCGGAGGCTGAATAGGCTGGGGCTATTTTTACTGGAGCATCGGAAGCTGACAGGTGACGTTATAGAGGTTTATAAAATCATGAGGGGCATGGATAGGGTACGTAGACAAGGTCCTTTCCCCAGGGTGGGGGAGTCCAAAACTAGAGGGCATGGGTCTAAGGTGAAAGAGGAAAGATATAAAAGTGACCTAAGGGGCAACTTTGTCACACAGAGGGTGGAACGTATATGGAATGAACTGCCAGAAGTAGTGGTGGAGACAGGTACAATTACAACATTTAAAAGGCATCTGGATGGGTACATGAATAGGAAGGGTTTAGAGGGATATGGGCCAAATGGGACTAGATTTATATAGTCTGGTCGGCATGGATGAGTTGGACCGAAGGGCCTGTTTCCATGCTATATATCTTTATGATTCTATTGGAACTCTGTTTTTGTTACAGATTGCCACATCACTAACCACTCTCTAGGTGGGACAGAGAGTGGCAGAACTGTTCCCATGTCAATGTGTCAGCATGCAAATTGCGGCAATGTAGGCCAGCAGAGTCAATAAAACTTCTCATTTTAAAAAATTAGGGGAACAAAAATTCATCTAATGCAAAAGGGGCCATATTTTTCAAATATGACTCCGTACTCCCTCAGTTCTCCTCCAGCCCTCCAATATTTCTGCATATCTGCAATTCTGGTCTTTTACTCTTCATCACCACACTAATTAGCTGCCTCGGCCTTAAATTCTAAATTCCCTCCCACAATCCCTTTCTTGTCTCCTCTCTCCTCCACTCAGACTCTCACAAAAACCTCTCTTTTTGACTGAGTTGTTTTGGTCAGCCATCCTCATATGAGCTTTGGAGGCTCACTGTTCTCTTTGATTAAAGCCCTCTGGGAAGGACCTCAAGGA